AAGATATCAGAAAGCTTGACTATGGACAACATGTTGTATCAGGTACACCGGGTCGTGTATTTGGTAAGTATTATGTTGATTATCAAATAATAGATTACTTTTCTGCTATTGTATATTTAAAAACAATTAAAAGTAGAACTAAATGAAGCAAACAGCTCAAAAATTGCCTAGAATTTCAAACAATACGTATAGAGTGACCTATTTTAATCTACCATTCTTTTTATCTTTGCAGTATAAAGTCAAATAAAAAATAATGTATGTATTCATATATGTGTAATATTTTTCCAGATATGATTAAAAGACGTGTACTTAGAACACGAGCTATAAAAATGTTGGTATTGGATGAATCAGACGAAATGTTGAATAAAGGCTTCAAAGAACAGATTTATGACGTATACCGATATCTACCACCTGCGACGCAAGTTGTCCTAGTATCAGCTACGTTACCGCACGAGATTTTAGAAATGACAAGTAAATTCATGACAGATCCCATACGTATTCTTGTGAAACGGTAAATAATCTTTTATCTCCGTGATGATAAGTTTAATTTTAATTATTATTGGTTATTAATGTTAATTTACTATTTTCTCTTCAGTGATGAATTGACATTAGAAGGAATTAAACAATTCTTTGTCGCTGTAGAACGAGAAGAATGGAAATTCGACACACTATGTGACTTATATGATACATTAACAATAACACAAGCAGTGATATTTTGTAACACGAAACGTAAAGTGGACTGGCTGACGGAAAAGATGCGAGAGGCGAACTTCACTGTGTGTTCCATGCATGGAGATATGCCGCAGAAGGAGCGAGACAACATAATGAAAGAATTTCGGTCCGGTGCGAGGTACGACAAAAGTTTCAAGCCTTCCGCTTTCTTGCCTCAGCTATCTTGATTAATGACGTCAAAAGTGGGAAAGTGTATGTCAAAAATTCTTAGAATACGTGAATTCAAAAGACATATCCATAAAATCATACTTGTAATTGATTGCATATATTTTAAAATA